AATTTTTTTTTTTTTTTTTTACTTTGTTGCTTGTGGAAAAAAATATGACTCTGTTCACAATATTGCTTTCTCCGGTGATACGGTCATCTCGTCTGAATCAGAAGAGAAATATGCACAGATCAAATACCATTTACAAGCAAAAACAGTCTAAAACAGTTCCAAACAAATGTATCGGAGGATTTTGATGTGAATCCCAACAGGGGATGGACTTTTTCAGTTTAGGACGTGTCATTATAGAGCATGAACTCATATTTTGGCCAGAAGCAACAGTTTAAAGTTAAAACACCTTAATGATGACTTTATTTCTTTCAGACATAAAGCTTTTCACTTCACAAGATGTTAACTGATGGACTGGAGTGGTGTGGATTACTTGTGGATTATTGTGATGGTTTTATCAGCTGTTTGGACTCTCATTCTGACGGCACCCATTCACTGCAGAGCATCCATTGCTGAGCAAGTGATGCAATGCTACATTTCTCCAAATCTTTTCCAATGAAGCAATGTCCTGCACAATTGATTACAATTAAAATAATTAATTTATTTTGTTTTTACAAACCAAGGAACAAGCTGAAAATATTTTCTGTGTTAACTGACAACATCAAAATAAAACGTCTCAGGTTACTTATGTAACCATGGTTCCCTGAGTAGGGAACGAGACACCGCGTCCTCTAGGGGTCGCTATGGGGGAACGCCTCGTCGTGACCCGTGTCTGAAGCATACATTGAAAAAACACCAACTCGTTGGCCGGCGACAGCCATGACGTAACTACCGGTGCGACTATAGAATAAATAGGCCCCGGGAGCACACATCATTCACTTCTTCGTCTGAAGCTTGCGTCCGCAGCATGGCAAGAAAACTTAGAGGACGCAGTGTCTCGTTCCCTACTCAGGGAACCATGGTTACATAAGTAACCTGAGACGTTCCCTTTCATGGGAACTTCGAACTGCGTCCTCTAGGGGTCGCTATGGGGAACGGTATACCCACGCCGCCATGCTGAGGGGAGTGCAAGCCGGAACCATGGCGAGCACTAAGTACCAACTCTACCATATTGCTATGGGAGTTGACCCTGGAACGTTAGACAGCTGTCAGTGACGTTATTCCCTACGGCCA